GTATTTGCAGTGACTGATAAAAACTTGGGTTGGGCACACCTTAGATCTCAAACTGACATCTTTTTTTGAACATTTTAAAGAGGTCCTTTACAACACATTTGCTCAGTGCAATAAATAAGTTGATTTCTTGACTGCGCCTTCCATGAGTATTGATTGTTGATCCTAGTAAAACGAAATCTTTGACAACTTAAATATTTTCTGTTTATCATGCTGTTACATATTGGTCCAGTTGTGAAGACTTTCGTTTTCTTTATATTTAGGTATAGTCCATACAGAAGTCCTCTTCATTTTCATTAAGCAAAGTTGTATCATCTGCATATCATAGGTTGCTAATAAGCCTTCCTCAAATCCTGATGCTGCATTCTTCTTCATGTAGATCATCTTCTTGGATTATTTGCTCAGCATGCAGAGAACAAGTATAGATAAAGGATACAGCTCTCACGCACACTGTTCCTAATGTTAACACTCAGTATCCCTGTATTCTGTTCAAACAACTGCCTCTTGGTCAATGTACAGATTCTACATGACCAGAATTAAGTGTGAAGTTCCCATTTTTTGTAATGTTATCCATATTTATTATGATCCACACAGTCAGATAGATGCCTTTGTGTAGTCATTAAAACAAAAGTAAGCATCGTTCTGCCATTCTCTGCTGTCCGCCAAAATGCATCTGACATTAGCAATGATAATACCTCGTTCTACATCCTTTTTGAATCTGGCTTGTATTTCTGGCAGTTCTCTGTGGTACTGTACCAACCTTTTTGAATTATCATCACCAAATTAGGCTTGCATGAGATATTAATGATATTGCTCAATAATATCTGCATTCTGCTGTATCATTTTTCTTTGGAGTGACCACAAATATGGATCTATCCCACGTGGTTGGTCTGGTAGCTGTCTTCCAGATTTCTTGGTATAGGCAAGTTAGTGCTTCCAGTGTTATATACCCAGTTGTTGAAAAATTTCAGTTATTTCAATTCCTGGAGCCTTGTTTTTTGCCAATGCCTTCAGTGCAGCTTTAAGTTTTTTCGGTAGAACCATCGATTCTCCTGAAATGGTAGGACATAGACCAATTCTTTTGGTACAGTTACTGTGTATTCCTTTCATTTGCTTTTGACGTTTTCTGTGTTGTTCAGTATTTTGCCCATGTTGTTGTTACGTGCCAATCGAGTTGGTTTCAACTCATGGCAACCCTATGTAGGATTTCAAAGGAGCAGCTGGAGGGTTTGAATTACTGACCTTGTGGTTAGCAGTCCAGTGCTTATCTTTTTAATGGCAGTTTGCTTTTTTCATGTGTGCTGTCCTTGATCTCTTGACTCTTCTGGCCTTCAGTCATTATTGTTTATTGTCAAATCTATTCAGATTATTGTTGTTGTTAAGTGCCATTAAGTCAGTTCCAACTCCTATTGATCCTGTATAGGGTTTCCGAGGAGCAGCTGGTGAATTTGAACCATTGACCTTGCGGCTCAAACTGACCTTGTGGTCTAGTGTATTATACCACAGCACCACACCAGAACTCAGTCATCACATAGTCTCTAAAATCTAGTTGGAATACACTCAAGTTTATGTGTTGACACTTCTGGACATGTTTGAATTTTCTTCAGCTTCAACTTGAACTTGCATATGAGCAATTGATGGTCTCTTATGCATTGTCTCTTTCCACGTATGTGGTCCATTTGGTTCTTGTGTGTTCCATCTAGTTGTTCAGTGCCACCGAGTCGGTTCTGACCCAAAGCAACCCTGTATAGGAACAGCTGGTTCCTATATTCTAAGGAACAGCTGGTGAGCTTGAACTGCCAACCTTGTGGTTCTTTTGTATAGTTTCCATTTATATTTTTGAAGAAAAGTTTTTCAGTTAATAGGTTGTCAATTTGAAAAATCCCATCATGTAGTCTCCTGTGTCATTTCTATCACCAAGGCCATATTTTCCCACTACTGACCCCTGTTCTTTGCTTCTAGCCTTTGTATTCTGATCTCCAGTAATTATTAATGCATCTTGATTGCATGTTTGTTAATTTCATATGGTGGTGGTATTGTTGTTAAGTGTCACCATGTTGGTTCTGACCCATAGCGACCCTGTATAGGGTTTTCAAGGAGTGACTGGTGAGCTTGAACTGCTGACCTTGTAGCACTTAACAACAACAACATAAAGTAGCTAAAGAACTGTGCCCTGGACTTTGTAGCCCAGTGCATCAGCCCACAGCACCACACTATGGTTGTTGTTTTTATGTGCTGTGGAGTCAGTTCCGACTCATAGCGACCCTGTACAGGGTTTCTGAGGCTGTAAATCTTTACAGGAGCAGAAAGCCTCATCTTTCTCCCGCATAACAGCTGGTAGTTTTGAACTGCTGACCTTGAGGTTGACAGCCCGATTCGTAACAACTATGCTACCAGAACTCCTTGGTGAAAATTTTCAATTTATTTTTGGCATTAACGGTTGCTGTGTAAATTTGAATAATAGTTGTACTAACTGGTCTTCCTTATAGATATTATCCTTTTACTAACAGTGTTGTACTTCAAGATAGACATTTGAAATGTTCATTTTGGCAATGAATGTGATGCTGCTTCTCTTCAAAAGGCCATTTCCAGCATAGGAGACCCTATGATAGTCCAATTCACAATGGCCAGTGCAAGTTGATGTCAGCTCACAAGGATATCTATCTTTAAGTGGTCTGTTTCATTTTTTGCAATTTCTGATTTTCCTGGATTCATACTTCATGCATTGTACCTTTTGATTATTAATGGATGTTTGCAGCTGTTTCTTCTCATTTTGAGTCATTCCATGTCAGCAATCTTTATTTCATCCAGCTCTCCCCCAGTCATGTTTTGAGTACCGTCTATCCTGAGGACTCATCTTCCAGCACTGTATCGTACAGTGGTTAACTGTTTTTAGAATACTTTTCATGGACCAATTTTTTTTTCCTCTTCATTTATTTATTTTTTTTATTTGCAGAAGGAGTTGAAAAAAATTTTGAGGGCTTTTTTTTTTCTTTCACACACACACACACACACACCCATAAATGAATCATTCAAGTAAAACCAATTTAACTATAGAAATGTAGCAAAGTAAGGGGAAAGTAGCACAACAATCCAAGAGGCAAAGTTTGGGGTAAGAGGTAGGTGCAGTCCACATATAACATATGCATGAATCATTGGCCAGTTTGTTTTAGTAGAGTGACAGGTTCTTCCTAATCTGTCTTAATCTGAAAGCTGTCCACCGTGAGTGACCCTGCTGGTCTTTGTAGTACTGGTGGTATCACTTCCTGCGTCAGTGTAGCACGCTAGCACCACAGTGTGACAGACTGACAGGTGAGTGGTAGAGTAGTGACTTAAGTCTGAAAAATACTGACTTCATCATACATGTCCATTAAAAGCACAAATAGTACTTCTATTAAGAAATATCAAGGGTATTGGGTTTTCATACTGACAAGCAGTAAGAAACAGGAAGGTCGCTTCTGTTTTCTTACACAGCATTCTTTGTGATATATAAATTGGAGGGGGAAATTTTAGTAAGTATTCTCTTTTGTTTTAACTTGTTATTAAGTGCCCTCGAGTAGGTTCCGACCCATAGCGACCCTGTACAGGGTTTCCAAGGCTGTAAATCTTCATGGGAGCAGAAAGCCTCATCTTTTTGACCTTGAGGTTAGCAGCCCGATCGTAACCACTGCACTACCAGATGTATAAGAGCAAGTTGTAGAGTATCTTGAACTTGAAATCCATTTTGGTCTTTTCTTTCTTTTTAATGACCTTTTGTTTTCCACATGTGTTTTGTTTTCAATTCCATCCTATACCTCTGGTTTTCAGTGATTAGTGTTCAATGTGTCAAATCTGTCCTTAAGATGGTCTCTAAATTCAGGTAGGATATACTCAGGGTCATATTTCTGCTTTGGTGCATGAATTTTAAGTTTCTTTAGCTTCAACTTGATGCATATAAACAATTGGTGGTCTGTTTGGGAGTAGGCCCTTGGCTTCGTTCTAACTGCTAATATTGAGCATTGGTCAGTGTTATATTCTGTTGTACATTGGGTCCCTATGAGTCATAGCCTGCTCATCAGCACGTAGCAATAGTAACAGCTCCACACTCTTTGCTATACAATACATCAAATCACAGTTTTGACCTCCTCAAGAGACTCAAATTGTACTTCTTTTCAATTTTCTTTGAGTTTGGGCAATAAAAAGTCTCAATAGGCAAGATCAGTTTTGTAGAGTAGATGGAATAAGGTTTCCCAACAAAATTCTCGTAAGACAGCCTTTGCTATACTCAAAGAATCAACAGAGATGCTTTATCATGGTAGAAAAAATTCCTTGGTGTAAGTTTCCTGTTTTTTTTTTTTTTCTCAATAGTACAATTTTCAATATTCTAATTAGTCCCCTTGATTGTTTTGTGAACTTTGAGAAAATCTATCAAGATTACTCCTGGTAATCCTGAAAAAAGTTACTATAACCTTAGGAGCAGACCTCTTTGCCTTGCTCACCATAGAGATCTTCCCAGTGTTCCTTAAAATGCTTGATCATGTAAAAACTTGTTTCATGTGGGGCAGCAGTGTGACAAATGTGCTGCAAAGCTTCAGTGATTTGGGGAAATGCCTACTCCAGGACATCTGACAACAAGAATTTATCTGGGGTGGAAATGGAAATTCCCAGCATGAGGTCAAACCACAATGAGCCTATTCCAAGTCCTGGTTCCAAGTTGGTAAAAATTGTTTATATCTCATCTAATTTTTCATTACTTATACCCATTGCCAAACTTTCCATTATTAATAATAGAAATTCAATGCTTCCTAAGCAGTTATTCTCCCTTCTTGTTCCTGGTAACCATTTAATAGACTCTGATCTCTATATATTTGCTTATTCTAGATATTTAATTAAACTTGTATTCTTAATTAGTTAAATTCTGACAGAAACTCATGTTCTGGGTTTCTTGTTTGTCTTCAAAATAAAAAGATAGATAGCTAGATTCATATTAAGAATAACTTAACTTTGAATTTTTTTCCCAACAGGTTATATCAAGCAGTGAAAATTTTATATTCCTTTGGCATTTTTGTGACCTATTCAATTCAGTTCTATGTCCCAGCAGAGATCATTCTTCCTGTGGCCACATCCAAAGTTCATGCTAAATGGAAGCAAGTCTGTGAATTTGGTATAAGGTCCCTCTTGGTTATTATTACTTGTAAGTATCACTACATAGATATCTAACTAATAATAGAAATTGTAATTCTTATTGTTAGATTTCTTTAATGAAATTACTAAAATTATATTTTTAACATTTTAAAATAAATTTATTCACCTAGAGAGGTTACTTATTGATTTAATAATCTTTTATTCTACTAACTATATAAGAAAAAAGTGAGTTTCCACTTAAAACCAAATGACCACCACTTGTCTGTCAGTTTGTCGTACTGTAGTGGCTTTTGAGTTGCTGTGATTTTGAAAGCTATGCCACCGATATTTTGAAGAACCAGCAGGGTCACCCATGGTGGACAGGTTTCAGATGAGCTTTCAGACAAAGACAGACTAGGAAGAAAGAGTGATGAACTACTTCTGAATATTTAGTCACTGAAAACCTTACAAATAACCGAAAAACACTATCAGATATAGTGCCGGAAAATGAGCCCCTCAGGTTGGAAGGCACGCAAAATGCCACTGGGGAAGAGCTGTCTCCTCAAAGTAGAGTTGACTGTGATAATGTGAACGGAGTAAATCTCGTGGGAGAAAAGCCCACGGGACCTTCATTTGCAGATGGGGCATAGCTCAAAATGAAGAGAAACAGCTGTAAACATGCACTGAAAATCGGAACATGGAATGTACGAAGTATGAATCTTGGAAAATTGGAAGATGTCAAAAATGAAATGGAACGCATCAACATTGATATCTTAGGCATTAGTGAGCTGAAATGGACTGGTATTGGCCATTTTGAATCTGACAACCACATGGTTTACTATGCCGGGAATGACAAACAGAAGAGGAATGGTGTTGCTTTCATCATCAAAAAGAATGTATCCAGATCAGTCATGAGGTACAAACCTGTCTGTGATAGGATAATATCCATGCTCCTACAGGGAAGCCCAGTTAATACCACTATTATTCAAATTTATGCACCAACCACTAAAGCCAGTTAGAATGAAATAGAAGAATTCTACGAACTTCTTCAATCTGAAATTGATCAAACATGCATTCAAGATATATTGATCATTACTGGTGATTAGAATGCAAATGTTGGGAGCAAAGAGGAAGGATCAGTAGTTGGAAAATATGACCTTGGTGATAGAAATGATGCTGGAGAATGCATGATAGAATTCTGCAAAACCAATGATTTGTTAATTTCTAATACCTTCTTTAGACAGCATAAGAGATGATTATACACATAGACCTCACCAGATGGAATGCATAGATACCAAATTGACTAAATCTGCAGAAAGAGACGATGAAAAAGCTGCATATCATCAGTGAAAACAAGGTCAGGGACAGACTATGGAACAGACCATCAATTACTCATATGCAAATTCAAACTGAAGCTGGAGAAAATGAAAACAAGACCACAAGATCCAAAATATGACCTTGAATATATCCCACCTGAATTTAGAGATCATCTAAAGAACAGATTTGATACATTAAACACTAAAGACCGAAGACCAGAAAAGTTGTAGGATGACATCAAGAATATCATACATGAAAGCAAAAAGTCATTGAGAAGAAAAGAAAGAAGGAAAAGGTAAAAATGGATGTCAGAAGAGACACTGAAACTTGCTCTCCAGCATAGAGATGCTAAAGCAAATGGAAGAAATGAGGAGGTTCAAGAGCATAACAGAAAATTTTAAACATCAGCTCGAGAAGATAAAGCTAAATATTACAATAAAATGTGCAAAGATGTGGAATCAGAATATCAAAAAGGAAGCACACGCTCAGCATTTCTCAAGCTGGGGAACTGAAGAAAAAATTTAAGCCTCAGTTTTCATTGTTGAAAGATTCTCTGGGCTAATTATTGAATGATGGAGAATGAATCAAGAGAAGATGGAAGGAATACACAGAGTCACTGTAACAAAAGGAAATGGTTAATGTTCAACCATTTCAAGAGGTAGCATATGATCCAGAGCCAATGATACTTAGGGAGGAAGTCCAAAGTGCATTGAAGGAATTGGCAAAGAACAACGCACCAGTGATGGAATCAAAATTGAAATCTTTCAAGAAAGTGAGGCAGCAAAGGAGGCACTCACTTATCTCTGCCAGGAAATTTTTGGAAGACAACTATCTGGCTGACTGATTGGAAGAGATTCGTATTTGTGACCATTCCAAAGAAAGGTGACCCAACAGAAAGTGGAAATCATTGGACAATCTCTTTGATATCTCATGTGAGTAAAGTTTTGCTGAAGGTAATACAGAAACGGCTATAATCATACATTGACAGAGAACTTCCAGAGGTTCAAGCAGGATTCAGAAGAGGCCATGGAACAAGGGATATCATTGCTGATGTCCGATGGATCTTGGCTGAAAACAGAGAGTATCAGAAAGTTGTTTACCTCTGCTTTATTGACTACGCAAAGGCTTTCGATTGTGTGGATCATGACAAACTATGGACAACATTACGAAGTATGAGTATTACAGAACACTTAATTGTGCTCATGAGGAATCTGTACATGGACCAAGAGGCAGTTGTTCGAACAGAACATGGGAACATTGAATGTTTTAAAATTAAGAAAGGTGTGCAACAAGGTTGTATTCTTTTACCATACTTATTCAACCTGTATGCTGAACAAATCATCCAAGACGCTGGGTTCTATGTAGAAAAACGTGGCATCAAGATTGGAAGAAAACTCATTAACAACCTTCAAAATGCAGATGATACAACCTTGCTTGCTGAAAGTGAAGAGGACTTAAAACATTTACTGATGAAGATCAAAGAGCACAGTCTTCCGTATGGATTACATCTCAATGTCAAGAAAACAAAAATCCTCACCACTGGACCAGTAAACAACATTCTTATCAACAGAGAAAAGATTGAAGTTGTCAAGGACTTCATTCTTCTTGGATCAACTATCAACACTCACGGAAGCAGCAGTCAAGAGATCAAACGACGTATTGCATTAAGCAAATCTGCTGCACAAGACCTTTTTAAAGCGTTGAAGAGCAAAGATGTCAGCTTGAGGACTAAGGTGTGCCTGACCCAAGCCATGATATTTTCAATAACCTCATATGCATGTGAAAGCTGGAGAGTGACTAAAGAAGACCATAGAAGAATTTATGCTTTTGAGTTATGGTGTTGGAGGAGAATATTGAAAGTGCCATGGGCTGCCAAAAGAACCATTAGATCCATTTTGGAAGAAGTGCAGCCAGAGTGCTCCTTAGAGGCCAAGATGGCCAGACTTCATCTCTCATACTTTGGACATATTGTCAGGAGGGAGCAGTTTCTGGAGAAGGATATCATATTTGGTAAGGTGGAGGGTCCGAGAAAAAGAGGAAGGCTCCCAGCAAGATGGATTGGCCAAGTGGCAGCATCGATGTAGTAACAGTAGTGAGGTTGGCCCAGGATCGGCAGTGTTATATTCTGCTGTTCATAAGGTCACTATGTGTTGGTAGTGACTCGATGATACCTCACAACAACATATGAGAAAACCATAAGCCAGATCCCAGCACGCTGAAAAAAAAATCAAATTATTATTTTGAAAATTATATTGTTGTTGTTAAGTGCCATTGAGTTGGTTCCTACTCACAGCAACCCTGTATTAGGTTTCTGAGGCTTTAATTATTCATGGGAGCAGAAAGTCTCATCTTTCTCCGGCACAGTGACTGGTGATCTCTAACTGCAGACCTTGTAGTTTGAAGTCTAGTGCTTATCGTATGGAGCCATCACAGTCCAGTAGGAGAAATATTAGGCTTTCTGCTCCAGTAAAGATTTAAATTCTCAGAAACCCTATACAGGGTCTCTATGAATTGGAACAGACTTGATGGCACTTAACAGCAATAACATTCATAATTGGCTTCCTGCACGTGTCAAAGGGCAACCAATTTTCAGTAATTCTATAATGAATTTAGAGTCCTATTGTGGCACTGTAGAATAAACACTGGACTACTGACCACAAGGTCTACAATTGAAATCCACCAGCTGCTCTTTGAGAATCCTATACCACAAGGTTTTTATGAGTCGGAACCGACTTGATGATACTTAATAAAAATAATGACTATATTTGCACTGAATAAACTATCATTTTTGAATATATTTGTGTTTTTATATGTTGCATTGGCTTAAAGGATATATGAGGGGCTTCAAAAGCTCATGGCAAAATGGAATTACAAGATAATGAAATTTTTTCAGGAACTTTTTGAAGGTCCCCACATACTTGTCTTTCTTGTATACTAATACATTACCAAGTAATATTTGTCAAGCCTTAAAACAAAACCAAAAAATCCTAGAAACTATCTGTTGATTTTAGAACATCTCAAAGGATGGGTTTATTTAATTTTAATTTTACTTTGTGATTTAAAAGTGTTCAATAAATGAATTTTCCTTTTCTGAGATCTATAGTGCTTTTCCACATTGTTTCCTAACAAGTCATTTGATTTAATGGTGACTCCTTGGACTATTTAAAAAACTAAGATAAAATGTATTCCAAATAAAAATGCTCTCCAGTGAGGAAGGTTCTAGTCATGTTTGTTTGGCCTCCCTTTTATATTAGAGGGGTAGTAATGTGCCATTGCGTTGTTTCTGACTCATAGCAACCCTGTATAGGGTTTCCAAGGCTGTAAATCTTTACAGGAGCAGAAAGCTTCATCTTTGTTCTGAGGAACTGCTTCAGTTTTGAACTGCTGATTAGCAGCCCAGCTTGTAGCCACTATACTACTAGAGCTCTTTTCCCTTTCATACTGTCACCTACTATGTCCTGGTGTGGCACTGTAGGATCAGTGTCACACGAGGACATAGTGAACCACAAGGACTGTGAACTACAAGGTCGTTGGTTCAAACTGACCAGCTGCTCCTCACGGTCACTAGGAGTCAGAACTGAATCGACGACACTTCATAACAAACAGCTATAAGTAGATGCAACACATCTCTACAAAATAGATGTAAGTCCTTTAGAATTTTATTAAATATGTACTTACTTGTGTGTAAGAATTATGCTTTATTAATAGAGAATTTTAAAGGGATGTAACAAGAATCTTTTATCATGTGAAAATGAAAGAATTTGCTTTTATATAAAGTATTTCAAGTTTTAATTTCAATTTCCTCATAAATTCAATTTTTTTTTGTAAAGCACTTACTTCAGTCCTATTAGTCTGAGGTTAGGTTTATAATTTCATAGTAATTGGTAGAGTTTAGCTTTCAGAGTAATTTGATATAAAATAATTTTTAGAACAAAATAATTTAACAAGACTGATGTCACAAGATTTATATTTTTATATTTATATAATATTGATGATTTATACTTATATAATGATGCCAAAACCTACAGGAAAAAAAACTAAAACTAATAACCTCTCTCAATAAATAATGATGTAAAAATGCTGAAGGTTAGCATATTAGCATAGAGAATCCAACAGCATAATAAAAGAATAATGTGTTGTTTATAAATGGAGTTGTAAACAGTAGCAAAGAAGGTTCATTATTAAGTAATCCATTAAGATAATGTATTATATAAGTAGATTTCAAGGATAGAACTCACAAGATAGTCTTCAGAAGTACTGAAAAGCATTTGAAAAAATTCACAGTCCATTCTTTATTTTTAAAACATTGAATGAAATAGGATTATATGGATCATTTGTTGATGTGTGGATATATGTGTGCATGCACACTTCAGCCTAAAAGCCAATGTCAATTGTTGTGGGAAGCCTGGGCTGTATTCCCAATGAAGTCAGGAAGAGGACAAGTAGGTTCCCTAGCACTATTGCTGTGCTGTCCCATGATCACTTGTGGCCTGGAGTATTGTAATCCATAAAGTTTTCATTGCTTGATTTTCAGAAGTAGAACTCTCCAGGTCTTTTTTCCTAGGTGCATCTAAATTACCACTAACTGTTGTCACATGTTCAGAGTGAGCTGTACGGCAGTGTAATGCATGGACATCGGATGCACGCCAGCTAAAACCTCTTTGCAGAGCATTTCACAGCCAATAGTGAAAAGTTGTTTAAATAGGAAGCTCTATTGACAAGGCAGGGTCCAGGAAAGGTCACTTAGTATTTTTTTCATTTTTTTTTTTTAGTTCAGCCCAAAATACGGCAAAATTTCCCATAAGCAATCGTTTATCAGTGCAGACTTGCATTTATTACTTTGTATTGAAAAGATTTGCATTTATTTCGGTTTAGTACCAAATATTTAAATGAGAAAAGTATGTATTTTCATTTTCCAGGTGCTGTAGCAATTCTGATTCCTCGTTTAGACATTGTGATTTCCTTCGTTGGAGCTGTGAGCAGCAGCACGTTGGCTCTGATCCTACCACCGTTGGTTGAAATTCTTACATTTTCAAAGGAACACTACGATATATGGATGATCCTCAAAAATATTTCTATAGCATTCATTGGAGTTGTTGGTTTCCTATTAGGCACATATGTAACTGTTGAAGAAATTGTTTATCCTGCTCCCAAAGTCATAACTGATACTTCACAAAGTCTCTCTATAAATTTGAATACAACATGTTTGACACCTGGTTTGAAATAGTGAAAGCAAAATAATTTTTGACTTAATTCTGAAAGTGATTAAAATAAGAACTAGAATACATTGTCATGTACTGAAAAATAGAACCAAACTCTGTTCTCTTTTGGTACAATATTAAATTTTTGACAGTAAATTGTAGTTCTTTGCTAGTAGTGGCAAACTATGGCAGATCCTTTAAGTATTAGCAATAATTTCATGAAGTTTAATTTTGAAAACTGAAAAAGCTATAATTTAAAAAGTAAAATGTAAAAAAATAATAATAAATAGAAAAGCTTCTGTTATTTTTCTCAACCCTAAATGCTTCAACCACATTTTCTCTCTTCTACCCTAGTGCTACTCTTCTGCGCCCCAGTTAAGAGAACAGGATTTTAACAAGAAGAGAATTAAATGACATAGATAACAGAAGTCTAGACCATCCCAGTATATATCAAAGTAAACTTTGTGTATAATTTTAGCATATCTTGGTTATTTTTTATTAGCCAGATTATTATGATTAGTCACTGGACGTATAGAAAATTCCGGTTAACCAGAATATAAGCATCAGAAAATTTAAAAACCAGAATTATTTTTATACTATTATATAGTAGTAATTAATCTTCATAATGATACTCAAGAGGTACCAAGCAAAATTCTAACTTAGTCTTTCAATCAACTTTGAAAAGGACTTGCTAGATTGGTTATCCAATACAACTGAGGATATAGAGGTCCAGAAAGGTGAAGCAACTCAAGGACACACAGCTCTGATATCTGGAGAACCTAATCTCTTCATGCCCATTCCAGGGTTTTTATTTTTCGTATCACATCTCAAAAGATAAATTGTATTAAGTTTACTTGTAGTACCGAGTCTATTAATTATATTTTAAATCTTTGAAAGTAGGAATTCTTAGAAGCCTGCACTATGGTCATTTAAACATCGATAAGGGAAAGAAGCAATGTTTTTTGAAACAGCATAGAGATGTTTGCCATTTACTGGTGGAATGTGCCTAGATAGCTTTCCTTATTGTCTCTTTCCTTTTCTGGATTTTGTAGGCACCATCTTTTTTACTTGTTAGAAAATAGGTTAACTGATAGAATATAGATTTTGGAGTTCTTAAGTCTGAGGACTATTTCCAGCCCAGTGACTTTCCTTCTCATATTGATTTGATAGGTAGGATAAAAGAACCTTAAAGGGATTCATGCTTGGGAAAAATTGGGACAATAATAACCATCTACTAAATGCCAAGACACTCCAGTATTCCTCCAGAGAAAATTCTTAATTTAAAACATTTTGAACTGTTTAATCAGGCTTGTGAGACTAATATAATATTGAACTTCATGATGTCATTAAGATCATTGTAGTATATATATTCTATATTTTTATATGTTTTGTAAATGGTGATTTAGCTCAAGTATTTTTTGCTTCCATCATTAACTGAGCATAGAGTACAGTCCTAAATATTTATAAAGTTTATTTTGGTATATTTTTAAAAACATTTGCGTCTTAGGTGTCACAAACAATAGTTGTGATACTTTTATGTTAATCCGTTAATGTTGAACCTTTAGTCATATTAAGAGGATGTGGAAGGAGTTGTAGAAAAAAATGACCGTTATTTAAATTAATGCTATATGATCTTGAATTTAAGAATAAATTAGGTATTTAAAAAATTTTGTAATCTTATAAAATGTCTTGAAAACCACTATTAAGTAGAAAGTATTAGACTTGTTATTTGTCTGCAGATAATATTTCTGGTTCATATGTGCTATTTCATTTTTTAATCAACTTGAAGTTTATGTTCATTATGGAATACATCAATGCAATGAAATTTTGAATAGTTGATCATGGCAATAAATTAGTTTTTAATTCAACATAAACAAATGTTGAATATATTATCAGGTTGTTATTGTTAAGTGCCATCCGACTCATAAGCGACCCTTTATAGGGTTTCCAAGCAACAGCTGATGAGTTTCAATTGCCAACCTTGTGGTTCCCAGTCCAGGGCTGATCCTATAATGCCACACCTTATATAATAAATGTCTACTGAATTGACATCCAGTATTAATTCACTAAATCATTCAGTACTTTAAATACAGGAGAAAAGTTGAAATACAGAAAGGAAGAGGAACTAAAAGGAAGAAAATAGTTTCAGTTCTTAACAAGAAACACTAACTGAAAAGTATAAAGACACTCTTACTTAAAGATGTTTGTAATATATGCACATTTTACTTGCAGAGTTAGTGGGAATAATTTTTTTCTTCAAAAATTTAGTTTTAATAAATCATGAAAATTTTAAACTACTTTTAAGGAAGGTATTTTCATTAAACTAGTAATGGTTTAATTTTGAGGCCTGGAAAAATAAAAGTGGCTGTATGTGCCAAATTTATATCTGATATCTTTGGTATGTCCCATTATGACTAAAATGACTTCAGCATTTCAGCTACTATCACACTACAAACGTTCTTCTGGGAAAGTGGTTCAGGTGTCTAAGGGGAAAGAGGCAGCCCACTGCTATCTAGTCGAGCCTGACTCTTGGCTGCCCAGCAGGACAGTAGAACTGCCCCTTTGGTTTCCCGGGAGCAGAAAACAGAGGTTGGTGAATTCAAACTGCTCTTAGCAGTTAGTAGATAACCCACGGCGCCACCAGAACACCTTGAGGGTAACGGGGGAGAATGTAAAGTTTCATTTCCCTCTGATTGTTGTTGTTAGGTGCTATTGAGTCGGTTCTGACTCATAGTGACCCTGTAGAGGGTTTCCAAGGAGCGGCTGTTGAGTTTGAACTGCCGACCCATGGTTCATAGTCCAGTGCTGATCTTACAGCATCAGTTTCCAAAAAGGGTTCACCAGTATAGAGTCGATTTGTTCAAATCCTGATTCTCAAACATTTTTTTACGAGAGGATCTTTTCCCCACATTGCCAGTTTTCTTCAAAACTTTTTTTTTTTTAAATGAGAGCTACATTTTTTTCTTAGTTAAAGATCAATTTTGGGTTGTGTTACCAAATAAAAATGTATACTATATATTAGCAAATGCCTCATTATGTTTCAATTTTGTCCTCACAGTGCACTTAACTTTGGCACAAGTGTTTTATGACAATGTGCATATTGTGAATTTCCTAACAGGATGTAATTTCACTCAGTACTTTCATAACAGTTGCATAAAACCTCTCTAACTGCAAAACACTAAAATACTAATTGAAATATTTGTTAATGTTCTACATTAGAGCCATTCTAGCTGTTGCAAAGCACAGGTCTTGTTACAACTTCCAGTGATTATTCTCCATCACAGATCCCAGCACAGCATCTGAATACTCTGTAGTGCATTTGATTGCTGATCATAATCTTAGTTTTCTTTTTCTTCATTTAAAGGGGAGATGACACATGATAAAGCTGATGGAAGTAATAAAATCACATCTGTCTAATAACTTAATGAATGTTTTCTGTAATGAATGTTATCTGTTAAGGAATAAAGTAATGGGGTAACAGTATGGACCATTGATAATGTAATGAAGAGTTCTATTTTTATCTCTTGGGCTTTATTAACTAGCTTCTTAATAACATTTTACAAACGTTGATCTAAAATGCAGAAGACACTTCCTAACATGAAATAGTTGGTTGTGATAGTTAAAACTTTAGCAATAGTATTGTTGCTCTTGTTTATAGCATTAGAACTCACTTGGCTGAAAAGCTTTATGAAAATGGTTGGTTTTGATCTTGAAGATAAAACATGCTTAAGAAAGGTCTATTATAAAGTTCTGTTGAGTTGGTTTGACTCCTAGCGACCCTGTATTGGGTTTCTAAGAGTATTATTATTTTTTTTTAATCTTTGCAGAAGCAGAAAGTCCCGTCTTTCTCTTGCATAGTAGCTGGTGGGCTCTAACTGCCAACCTTGTGGTTCATACTCCTGTGCTTATCTTATGGAGTCACTGTGCACCCAAGAAATGGCTAGAAATACTATTTATTGCACTATGATAATGACAGACAAGCCTTCTTAATCTTAAGTTTTCATGTCATAATTATTTAGTTGCTCCCCCATCTCCAATATACACTATTTTATATGAGCCTCCATACTTATGTATTATTTAAATTGAGTTCAGGATAATGATGTGCTGAAAAAGATTATTTCCAAAATTATTCCATTAGATGTCCTTAATAACAAGTAGGATAATACATAATTATAACTTGAGTAAATGAAGCTGGGAGCTGTATGTTTTTTTGAAGTGATTTCATTAGTTTTAGTGGAAACTAAATATCATTGCACTTAAGATCTTTTTATTTTAAATATGTTTTTCTTTATAACTATAAATACTATCTTTTAAAGTACTGTAATGGATTCTGTATTTTCAGTAAAAATAATTATTTACTTTCTAATATCTTTTAAATAAATTATCCTTTGTAAGGCTAATGGAAATGACAAATGTCATAAGCCAAAATGGCACTAGTGTAATAGTCTCTTTATAAGTAGCATTTTAATTGGTCTTTATATTCTGTCATGTTATCGTCAGCCTTTGAAGTTTATATGCACCTCAAAATAAATTTAAAAGCAAAAGTTGATTTTAAATAAAAATGACACACTCAAAGCCTTGACTTAAATTTCCTGAAGAATGAATGCAGTCTACAGATGCTTCTCCCATGATTTAATTTACCACTTTCTTAAGTCAGCATTATATATATATATCTGTCATACATTTTGCTTGAATTATATATATTGAAATACTACTTATGGACACGTATGCCAGTCCCATATCAAAGACCATGAAAATACTGATATCTTTATGCAAGTCATCCTGCTCTTGTGAATTTAGCAGAAGGGCATACCAGGATCCTGTCACTTGCCTTTCATAGACAAAGCTGCTATCCCTGGAGGTACATCTATAGCATTATGTTTCAATAGTGAAAAGTTGGAAGCAACCAAAGGGTTAGCAAGAAGCGAGTCATAAATTATCTAAATCTAGAGTATACTGAGGATTATCCTAATTAATGTTATTCTGAATACTATGATAATTTGGGAAAGAAAAGCACACAGTTTTTTAAATTACAGCTCTAAAAATTTGTATTTGAATCCAGATGGTGATATGCAGAAATTGAAACCATACTGTTAGGACAAAGAGCTGGGTTTTCTATTTCAAATGTTTGAAGCAGGGCTGTACAAAGAATAAAGGAAAATTGATGAACAGAGACGCTGTGTGGTGCAAACAAGTTAACAAGCTCAGCTGCTCACTGAAAGGTTGGAGGTTTGAATTGACCCAGA